TGTGTGTGTGTGAGTGTGTGTGTGTGTGTGTGTGTGTGAGTGTGCGTGTGCGTGAGCGCGCGCGCGCGCTTATGTTTCCGTCTCGTTTATTTTAAATGACTCAACACTCTCACAAGCAATGACACTTCCCTGATGTGCCCTCCGATGACTGACCATTCTAGTATCACTGTACGTACGTAAGGCAGCTTATAAAGGCCCTCGCTGATCCCTGCCCCATGCATTACGCGTCAGAGCACAACTTTGAGGACCCTCGGCGTCCGAGAGCGTGTACCCGTTCGATCCTCTCTCTCGGCGCGCTGTTTCCCCGCGCGCTTAATCTAGCAGCGGGGCGCAGCGCAAATGGAGCGCGTCGCGTTAGATAAGAGCGCGTTTGTGGGCGCGCAGGGGAGGTGGAGGGAGCGCAACGCGAAGGCGCGTGGCATCGAGGGTGAACGAACTGCGCACGCGCGCGAGAAGCACACCCCACGGGAGAGCGAAGCAACGACTAAGAGGGATGGGGATAGATGTAAGGGTTGGCTCTTACTTGAGAGATAAAGGATGTGTGGACAGCACATGAGACAGAAAATGGACGTGGGACACTAAAAAAAAAAAAAGGTATGAGACCACACAGACTAGGTGTAAGTGACGGAGAGACAAATCATGCTTGGAATCAAAGTGAAATATTGTGTTACAATGGAATATTAACTGGGCTTGGAAGCGGTGTGTGCGCCTCGCCTACTTTGACGGGGAATTGCCCCACCGACCGGTCGGCTGCGTTCGATTCCCGGCCGCGCCACCCCGCAGCGCCATTAATCACGACCGCGACGCGAGCTCTTTTTAATTACGCCTCCACTCCATCGAGCGGTACAGCGCGCGGCGGTCGGCGGTGGCAGCCGCCGCTAAATGTGATGTGACGCGCCAGCTGGCGGACGGGCGATGGAACAAGTCGCCGGATTGGCCGGCAGCTGCATGCGCATGTTGGGCTCCCCACCTGCCCTCCAGCTGAGCCGTTGCACGTTTGGTCCGGCTTACACTGCATCTCCACCACACCATACGATACAAAGGGGGAAATGCACACATGGATTTAACCTACATACGACCCAAAATGTAAACTCTGTATGCTTTGCAAATACTCCCATGGATTAAAACTATGTAAATGTAAATAAATCCTTACCCAAAAATTCAAAACAGCTATTACCTCTCAAAACATCGTAATGTAGACTGAAAGTAACTTTCTGTTAAGCATCAAGTAGTTCCATAATTACCCATTAAAGTCGTATCATCAAATCAAAATATCCCCTAATTTGTCACTGGCCGTTTTCTTAGCATTCCCTTATTTAATAATTAATTATCTGATTTAAGTAACGGAAACCAAGAACATCACAACATATATTCATCATTTCATGACTATATGTACACTAGAGGGCGTTCATATATACTATCTACCTCGGGTCATACAAAACAATCAATCCATAACCAAACTATTCTAAGACTTTCGTACGTCAAAATCACATGGGCCTTCACCGAGGCATGCCTGAAGAACAGACAACAGAATGTCTACTGACTGATTTTCCCATGCAAACAAGAACCACTGCGGGAGAAAAACATCCATCCAGGAGAAAATTGTATCTAACGACTATCATTCTCCACTCTACTAAACCAAATAACCCTTTAAAAGAAAAAAAAAAAAGAAAAAAAACATGAAAAAGAAAAAAAAACACAAACCCAAACTATTTATATACACAAGACACACAGAAAAATAATAAACAACCAAAATATGAGGAATAAATTTACAACACACTCAGGATGAGTAGAATTTGAGCTGAGATGAAGAAAATAAAATCGATACATGGAAACACCGACAGGAGAAATCAGAAGAGTGCAAACCTTCCAAAGATGCGAGGCACTTTAGGGAGGGAAGGAGAAGGATTATCTGGCAATAATTTATAAAGTTGGACTTAAAATTAGTTGGAATCCATCATATATAACCACTCAGACGAATACCAAACCTTATAAATAATAATTTTAATGGTAAAGCAATTTGAGACCAACCATAAAACAATGGCTTGGAGATTTCAGAACTACACTATTACATTATTATCATAATTGAGGGATGTAGTTCACGAGATTTGATTGGAGTAGAAACTATCAAAACATTAGATTACAGACGTTTCGGAATTTTTTAATTCCATCATTAGAGCTAGTGTACAAAAACGAGGCATGAAGACAATATCGATATGAATATACAGTACACAAATTGATAATGATGTCTTCATGCCTTTTTTTGTACACTAGCCTTGATGATGGAATTAAGAGATTCCGAAACATCGGCAAACTCATGTTTCAATTGTTTCTACTCCGTCCAAATTCCATCAACTACGCTCTTCATTATGTCATGGTCGTGGATGCTATATTGGTTATAATAATAATAATAATAATAATAATAATAATAATAATAATTATTATTATTATTTATACTCAACATTTGGTACACATTTAAAATGAGACTAAGCAATGTGATGGAAAAAACAAATTTAAACAATGAATGAATACCTCCTTTCACAACCACTTCTATAAAACGAGACAGTTGTTCAAAAGCGTATGACATCGCCCGAGAGAAAGCAGTTCGTTTGATAAATTGAGAGCCATGAGCCCAAAACCGGAGGAAATAAAAATCTGGGAATAGCTACTATTATCGAAGAGTTTATTTTCGACTCGCAGCCCTAGTCGTGATGAAGAGAAATGATTCGTCGTTTCTTCACGGCAATTATTAGGGTAAATTTTCGGAGAAAATCCATCTGTTCGGTCGACTGTCGTAGGGGAGAAAAATGGCGAGGCACGGGTAGAGATGGCAAACGAGGGGGAACGACACGAAGTACAGGCGCTTCTCCTGTGAGAAGCGAAAATCAGACAACAAGGAGGATTGAGGACAACTGCGAACGACAAAAGTGAAGGATGGCTGTATATGGGGTGTTAGGACAGTAAATGCTATGTGTGTGTGTGTATGTGTGGAGGGGGAGATGAAAAGGATTCGAGAGTGGATGTGGAATATCGAAGCAATGGTAGGAGAGAAGTGAGATGGAAGAGCAATATTAGAAATACTAGATGATGGAAAGGTGTGATACAGGGTGAAATGGATTACGAATTGAGCAGAGCGGATTTAACAGTAAAAGTGATATTTTTTTAAAAACAGAGTGGGTTTAGCTGATCGAGATGTTGTACGAATGGGGTACCGATGAGTACAAGCATTTCTATCAGGAATGTTTAGTATTCCTTCCGTCAAATTATTATTAGATTGTAGTGTCTAATAATTCACATTGTGTTACTGCAAGAGCTTTAGGCCGCTTTCATTTATCCTTTAACGACAGATTAAATGACAGAATTTTCAAATGTCATTTTACATAAGATATAATACATTTATGACGTAAATAAGCAATTGTTATCACGGATAAAGACAGGGAGAGCAAAAAAGTTTTATACGTAGCAAACAACGGAAGGGAACGAATGCAAAGAGCGATATCAGTGTTGAGGAGATGGGCGAAGGTCTCGAACGAGGAAGCGGCGAAGGAGCGCCCGGACAGTGACGAGGCGGCAGAAGGTGGAACGGGGCGCGGGAAGACCGTGGGGGAGGGGTGCCTTTCTCGACAATTTATCTGCGAGCGGGCATTGTGTGGGCGGGGTTCTTCCCGGGCCGCTCCGCCGCCGGGGGAGGCCATTGTATGCCCGGATAATGGGGACACGGTGGCGCCGGAGGCGGCGTGCACGGAGCGCCAGGAACGAAGGCGACCACGACCGGAGCGCCACCTCCGCGTACAGCAGGCAAATGGAATTGCTGGGGCTGACATCTGCATAGCGGACGGTAGGAGTTGTCCAGCCAGAGCGTTTCGCGGCTTCAGTGAATACCTACGCTAACTGCTGCCTCCAACTTTCGTGACTTCCTCGGCCGACCCCCGCTAACTCAATTTTTTCTCCCTGGAAAAGGGAAATGCAAACTTTCCTTCCGGAGAAAAAAAACGCTTTGGAGAGGTGTGCCACGCAGTATCAGTTTAGAACATGGATACGCAAGCGTACGAGGAGCAGAAGTCAAAGAAAGAAAATGCCTACACAATTAAGATTATGTCGATTAATATTCTCGACTATTATTTTCCATATAAAATGTTTGAAATACAATAATCTATGGGTTTTATTAAATTCATACGGTTATCAATAATTTTGTGGACAACTATGGAAAATGAATTTTCTAGCATATGGTAATTTATCACGTACACGTTATAAATAGACCGTTCGAGACAGGGAGATGAAACACATAATACTTGAAATGACTACTTAACTTTCATAATGCTCACGAGAAATATAATAATAATAATAATAATAATAATAATAATAATAATAATA